AGAGAGAGAGAGAGAGAGAGAGAGAGAGAGAGAGAGAGAGAGAGAGAGAGAGCACAATGAACTCACCGTACTGGCTATAGTTTTTCCTTTCCCTGCGGGTCTTCTGCCGGGGGCAAAAGTTCGGTCCGGAGAACGGATACCTCTGCCAGGGCTCCGCGGCTACTCCTTCAATTAAAGTTGAAGGAGTTCGCCTCTTGCGGTCGGTATAGGAAATTGAGAGGAGTGCCCGGTACAGCCTCGCTGTCCGACCCGCAGGTGATTGCCGTACTGTTATTTGGTGTAAATACGCGTACGCGTTAGTTTACAAATGGTCATTATTGAGCAATTATTTCCATGCTTTATTTATGAGATTGATTCGTAAATACTCTACACGAATAATTTGTTTGCCTACGATCTTTTTATAGATCTATATCAGATGCCGACATCTGTTATAAAAAAACGTCGTAATTTTACGATGAATTTGTTTCCCTTTCTCATAGCAGTGTTTGTGTTTGATTCAGTCCCACGAGGCGGCGCTGCGCGCGCAGCAGCAGGAGCAGGAGGAGGGCGAGGGCGAGGAGATGGCCGCCCTGCAGCGCCAGCACCGCCTCGAGGACCGCGAGGACGGCTACGAGACCCTGGCGCTGCAGCCGCAGCGGGCGCACCGGGCGCGCCTGCAGCGCGACGCGTCCTCGTCGTCCTCGCAGGACAACAACAGCGTCGACATCGTGGACGTGCCTGTCCAGGGGCCCATCATCCTGCACAAGAGCAGCAAGGCGCTGTACCGCGCCGTGGCCGCGCAATGGGGCATCACCTGCAAGATGAACGACCACTGCCGCTGCCTCGACTGCCAGGTGAGCGGGGCGCCTACGCTAGGTGCCGGAAAGTACGTCCATCATTCGACGTAGCGAAACGGCCAAGTTCGGCTGAGCAAGCTCTCATAGCGCCTGATAGGTAGGCAACATCTTGCCTGAAGTGCACGCTTGTACCGCGGGGTGGCCTACCCCGAGTCTCACAGGCGCTAAGCTCCCGCAACTTGCCGAATGAATCCGAATAAAACGGACGTACTTCCTGGGCGATCGCTTTTCTTTCTCAAACTCTTTAGTTCCTTTTGCAATGCGAAATATTGGCTATTCCGTTCAACAATACCAAACTTCCTCTCCGCATGCCAAAATCTTCCATGCTTAGAAGCTACCAACTGGCTTTCTTGAAAGGAACGACAATAGTTGGGATTCAAAGAAGCCAAGAATTGGCAGAAATGTGTACTGTTCGTTTCGAGTGCAATTTTTGATGGATGTGTACGCACGTGCTGCTTGCAGAGTCGCTACTTCGACTGTGACTACGACATGAACGAGGAAGGCAAGACAGACGGGGGCCTAGGCGCCACCTCCCCCATCTTCCTGCAAGAAGTGATGCACGGGACGGCCTGCAGCATCCTCTGAGCTGGATGCCCTGTCAAGGCGTATTTTCTTGCTGACGAGGTTAACCCTCTCATTCGCACCGGCCCCGACAACACGCGGGGGAACTGGAGTGGATCGGTAAAGTTTGTTTGTCTCCACCATACGACGAAAATGAATCGGTTAATTGTATACTTGATAATTTTATTGTTACGATTACCCTAAACTGTATACCATTACTACAAAGGGCATGAAGCGCACTGTGTTGACTGATCGTTATGATGGGCCTCTTTTTAGGGTGACTCTACAATCTATCTAATTTAGTTATTTTTGGTTGTCTAATCGCCGCAATCGTTCCCATTTCTTGACAAACGAGCGCGGGCGGTGCTGTTTCCGGAGAGACGCCCGCTCGACCCTCGTGCTAGAACGTAAAGTTTGTTTTTCTTTTCTTAGACGTCTCTTGTATAAGTTGGAGGTGTTATTCGGAGACAGTCTAGCTTTACGTAGACTGCGTAGAACCTAATTAACTATTTTGGTTTCGTCGGTGTTAGTAAGGCCAGAGAAAAAAAGTTATCCCTATGCTATTGTTTGAATGACTAAACGCCTACCGTGCCCCTGACAGCTGAGGCAACTACGTTAGCTCCCCGACCCGTAAGGCGGAAATTCAACTATGCCCACGTCCACTCTATAGATTTTTGAAAGAAAACAAACGCAGCATGTCTTAAACATGCTACCTAGTCTGATAACAACAATTGTGTTGTCGTAGTCATGAAAAAATGACAGTGGGAAAGAAGAAATATTAAGTATTGTTCTGATGGGTGTATGTATATGGAGTAATGAAATTCCACAACGAGGGTCTTTATTAAAGCTTAGCAGAATGGAAACGTAGCCGATAGGTTGTTGTCAGTTACTTTCTTCTTGTAAAGCGTTGGGTAGCAGACAAGGCAGGTCTCTCGTGGTGTACTAGCACAGTAAAGCGGTGAGGCTGGACCTTCCGCTAAAACCAGCTGGTCTGGAATCATAACATTTTCGTATGTATGTTATCTCGATTTTACATAGCACTCATATATATAATAAGAATATCGTAAACTAGATATGCACACGCATAATTTTGGTTAGAAGGAACCTTTTCTTCTGGTCGATTGAATCGAAGAGCTGCTTTTTCCAGTCTCGAAAGAGCCTAGCCTTAGCCGTGTGTTACAATTTGTACATAGGTTTAAGATAATTTGCCATAGTTATTAAGTTCATAATGCTGCACGATCTAGACGATTTGTAACCCCTTCACCTTTGTACATAGGTCGTAAAGCCCTATGATAAATCCGTGCAATGGCCCTTTGCTGACTGATACTGTATTGACCTACGGGTGATTTTTGATGGGATACACGGAATTTAATGTCGTTCCGTTTAGTTTCAAGTTGTGTTTAAGCAAGGGAGCTTTTGTTTCTAAGAGGCTTGTTTGTTGTCCTTTATTCTATGACTGATGCCTCATTGTTTGCATTGAAAATTTGAGTTAGGTAAACAAAAGAACTACTCCCTCGTTTGAACAAATCGTTGGTATAATGGACTACACGCGTTATTGTTCCTTTGTCAAACTAATATAACCGGTTTTTGCTTGATTATTTCTCCATGTAAACTAAAATTTTGAGTGGACCAGTAACTTCTCTGAACTGAACCTATATGAATTTATATCCCCAAAATGTCTATTATATTTTGTATATTGAATGGTTGTTTTAAATAAGATATGAGGCTAATGTATTAAGCAGCGATTTCATTTAGAAAAAAACAGGTCTTCAGATGTTTGTTAAGCTTGCTTACCATCGCACTTTTCCTGCTTTTGCACTGCTGTGTGTAAAGGGGACTGGTGGTTTGCGGTACTGCAATTCTAATTAGTGTCTCAGTTTCTTTCCTTCCTCCTCTGCCGTAGCGTGATTAAGATTCATTGATTTTTAATTTTTGATTCCTGAGGATCTACTGCGCGCTAGCGACGTCTTTGTAAAATGTCAGTGTGAATTATTACGTCGCAAATAATGCAACTGAAGTTTTGTCAGTATCAGTGTGTATACAGTACAGAAAAATACAAATAGCATTAACAACTGTTTCACTGGGACAGTGATAAAAACTTTCACAGTGTGGTCGTAAAATATTATACTCTATACCACGGTTCACAGTCTAGTCCTGACTTATTCTATTCGGTAGGGCAGCGGGCAGTTTTTCACAATTTAAAACTACTTT